AAAAGTGGCTAATGAAGCAGTAAATATTTTTGTGCATATGATAATACAGCTGGTGAGGGCAGAGAGATCTCTGAGGAGCAGATCTTGTGATCTGGGACTGAGCCTGGTCTTTCATTGCTTGTGCAGGGAGTAGCCGCAGCCTCCGGTTGCAACAGCAGGTCCTAAGGGACTACCCTTTCCATGGCAATGGGCAGAACAACGCTTGTTCCCCTATCAGGCTCCCATCCCACCGGGCTCTCAGAGCCAGACGTTTGCCAGGGGAGAGCTGTCAGAGGCGTGCTAGGCAAACTACAGCTAGGAAGTCAGAGTTGCAGAATGGCAAAGCTAGACAAAGAGCCCTGTTACCAGTCCCTGCACAGCTGCTGCTCTGGGAGAAGTGCTCCCATCACTGTTCACTGGTGTGAACTTTGCGTGTGCTTACTGGGTTTGAACGCTGTCAGCCAGGTACGTAATGGCCTTTGTGGGAGAGAACTACATCAGACACAGTTGCTTTGACAAACCCCTCTCTGGTGGTGAAAGGAGATGGTCAGAGTTGGTCTCCGAGAAACTTTGGGCTCCACAAGATTGTAACCATTAGCCCCTGGTGTACTTCTGGGAACTAGACTGTATGAAGCAGGGCTAAGAATGAATGCTTAAGGCTGAAACACTGTAAAAGGTGTTCTGTTGTCCTTGTGTCTTGCATCTGGGCTGGTAACGCAGAGGAATGCTCTGGGCCCACTGATGGATGTTGCCTTGTTGCCTTCTGTCCTGCCATGCAGCGAGAACCCTTTGCCGACTGTGGAAATTGCTATTCGCAACACGGGGGACGCAGACCAGTGGTGCCCTCTTCTGGAAACCCTCACAGATGCCGAGATGGAGAAGAAGATCAGAGACCAGGACAGAAATACAAGGTGCTGCCACTCGTCCAGACAGTTCTACTTCTGGCCTGTCTCTAAGACAGAAGTTAAAAGCTTTGATGTTTGTCTTTCTCTATCAAGAGCCAACTGGCAGGGTTTCAAACTTGCACACCACAACAGAAACTCATACCTCTTTAGCTTCAGGATATTAAACTATTATCACACTGCTCCACAAACATTTAAATCTCTACTTTAACCATCTCCTACTTGAAGCAAAGTTTTTTTGGTTTTCTTTTTTTCCTTTTCCCTGGGCTCTCTGCTTGTGCAGGGGGATTTGTTTCTATAGGAAGGCATTCATCAAAGTATTGGAGTTTCATGCACTGTCATGCTACCTAGAATCCTGCCACAAGGCTTCCTCTTACATAGGGTAAAGTGTTGTTTGATGTAGGAATGGGCAAGCTCCCAGCTCCAGCCTGACTGATGCCAACCTCTTTGCCAGCATGGGAGCACTGTGAGATTCCAGGAGGAGGTTTGCCCACCAGACACCCGCTATGTGATGTTTTGACAAGCAGTCGTGAGCACTTGCAATTGGTGAAATTGCTCCTGGCAGATAAAAATGAATGGCCAGAATCTCTCCAAAAGATACATTGTGGGAACAGTAAATATGCTGGCTCAGCTCTTTCCTGGAATTTTTTTTTTTAACTGCTGATTAACAGTTTTGTAATTATTGTGCTTCTCAGCTATGACTGGCTGTATAGTTTTCAGTAGTGATCAGTTCAATCCAAGTTAATGAGCAAAAGTGCCCTAAAAGCTGTTATTGAATATCGTGTCTTAGCCTTATCAAGAGAGGCACTCTCAGGTGATCAAGGAAGTCTGTCTAGACCATAAACCTCTCTACAGAGTTCACAGAACTGTGGCAGCCTCCCCAAAAGCGTTGATTTTAGTAAGACTTCATGACTGTAACACAGCACTTACTGTACCTCTTTCTCTCTCTCTTAGGCGCATGAGACGTTTGGCCAATACTGCTCCAGCCTGGTAATCTTCCTGTTGTGACACGGGTGCTCTTCCTACAGACTTTATCCCTACTCCTCTCCCCAAATGGATCTAGGATTGGCAGGGGTCTCTCTGTCCCTGACGGGGACGCACATTCCACTTGCCAAGAGTTCCCAGTACTGCTGACTTCTGCCCCCACCCCCTCCACCCAAATGCCACGTACTAAGAACGCTGCGTTAGCACATGATCTAGCCAAGACCTGTGGCAGCTCTTGGAGCCCTTAGATTCCTGTGTGTGGACAGTGTAAAGATTCTTTTGTATTGGTGCAACATGCACTATTAGGACAACTTTTTAAATAAAAGGAATGCATACTACTTAGGCTGAGTTCAGTAAGTTTGAATGAAGAGCAAATCTCGCCATGTTTTGTGCTATTCTGGTAACTGAGCAGTCCTGGGGCCCAATATTAATGCTTTTGGCTTTAATACTGAATGCTCACACACATTCACTTTTCCTGAAGCATGGTGGAAACAGAGTGCTTTATTTCAAGATAAAACAGCCCAAAACCTTTTGATGCAGGGGAAAGTGAGAATGAGACTTAAAACTAGAAGAAGCAAACAACTCTAAGGGACTGGTCTGTTACCACACGTGGTAGAGTCTGTAACAAACTCAGTGAAGTGTTCAGCTGGCCTGCTTGACAAGGGTAGAACAGTTTAACTGAAGTCACAAACTTAACATTCATTTCTGGCAGATGTCAACCTGGTGTGTGATGAACCCTTTTTTTCTGTGAAGACTGCATCTGGAAAACAACAGTTTCTGAACTGGTACAAAAGTTGAAGCCTGCAATTGGTGAGACTGCAGCTTCTCTTCAGTGAGTGGCTCTGCTGTGGTTGTCAGCATGCAGAGCTGCCAGTTACAGAGCACCAAAAGCAAAGTGGGTGTCTTTAATACCCTTAGAACTTGCAACCCTAGAAACAACCTGTCTTTCCCTGGGGAGTTTACAAGCAGAAAATCTATTGAAGTGAGATTAAAAAAAAAAAAACCAAACAAAAAAAACCCAAAAAACAGGCATTCTTAAACTAATGAGGATCTACCTTGCTGTTGAGGTACACCAACTCTTTGATAGAGTTCCTACCATTCCAGAACTGACGAGTGTTGCAGCAGGGCAGATTTTGCTGGCAGCCTGACAGTTGTGTTCAGGCCTTTATGATAAAGCCAGTACGTTTTATGATCCCTGCTGATCCACCCACACTGCTAGCACAGTCAAAAACCACTTTCCAGCTTTAATTTACCGTGTTTAGACTTGAGTAATAGCAGAGGCAGTTCTGATTCCTGGGTGGGAGGGAACTTTTTCCAGATACTGGTCTGCAGAAACCAAAAACTTGCAATTTAGCAATAATACTATTGCAGTCTTACCCTAGCCTCCTGTGCGAGAATGGTACTCATCCATTATTCCTTATTAGAGAGGGTGAAAGGTTATTTCAGCAAGAAAGACAAAACCTGGGACTCTTGCTGCATCTTAGCAGCCTCGTGGACATAAACACTCCCAACTCTTCTGAGAACACTTCAGCCTCTCTGTTATGGTCAGGTACTTCTGCAAGCAGCCTCTTCAGGGAATTTGACCAAAACAAGCATGAAACTGCTGTAGCCTTAAACTAGCATCTGTGGTGCAATTTTTGAATTGCTGTGAAGCTTACAGTTACCTAATCCTGAAGTTCACAAGGTACAGATACTCAAGGACTGCAGGTTCTGTAGTGGGTTTACAAGTACCTCTCTCTGCTTCTCAGGCCCCAGAGAGGCTGCAGGAATTGTCCCTCCAAGCAGCCAGGGGCAAGGCAGGACAGTCCAGGGAGCCAAGTCCCAGAAAGATGAGAACTTCACCCAGCTTCCTCCATGTAGCAGGACTACTAGGGAACAGCAGGGAGCAGCTTGCCTGCTCTAGAATCACAACTCCTTAGGTTAATCTAGTAGCCTAGCTAAAAGCATACCCCAGCTTTTGCATTTCAAAGGCCCATCTCAGAAGCAATTTAAAAGAGAACATCTGCAGACTGAAGACAAACTCCTTCCAGGGATTGAAACACCAGCTCTGTGTTACTAGGTCATGGGCAAAGCACATGGCAAGTACCTGTCGAGTCTGAGGCTGCTTAGCCCTTAGTACCACTGTGTCTTCTAGAACAGGATTACCATCTGTACAGGCCTTTCATCCTCTTCCTAGAGGGAAACGTAAGTCCAGCACAATAGCTTGTTCAAATGAAGTCTGATTTTTCATAAAAAAGGTGTTCTCATGGGAACCCCACAGAAGAGGGGGCGGGGGGGGGAGGGCAGTGGTTCAATCTTCCTTTGCCACAAGGCGTCTATATAATTCTTAATGGGATGCTGGTTACTGACATTTCTTTTTGTAGTTCTACTGGTGGTTTGCAAGCTCATCCAGCTGAGCAGACAGCAACATTACCAAATGACCTATCCTAAGATACAATGTTTGCAGATTTACTCCAAAGGCTTTGAGGTGTGGTACAAGCACACATGTACTCCATTAGCAAGAATGATCAAATCCATTTAGTACAGCTGTTCATGGTAAGCACTAGCTTGTTTAATTCTCCCCTGAAATTCAGATGTTTAAGTTTAGTTAAACTTTAGTTCCGAAGAACTAAAGAATTCAACAAGGGTGGAATTACACTGCATGTGCAGGCAGCCTTTACTAGTGTGAAGTGCTACTTCCAGTCACCGCCTGGATCAAGGGTCCAGCTCTGTCCCCTCTCCTTTCCCAGGCATCCCTTTCTCTAACAGGACACCCCACCCCACCCTTCTCACACTCTGCAGTCCTGCTGACAGAAGAGGGAAAGGACATCTTCCAGCTAGCCTGAACTTTGCTTTGCCCACCAAAAAAGAAAAGCCCAAGCAAGCAGAGCCTGGCAGTTTTGAGGAAAGTCCTGATGAGTACTGGTGAATTGCTGCCTCTGCCCCAGCAGAAATGGACACACAACTGAAAAATAAAGACTTTAATGTAAAGACTCTTTGGAAACAGCAACCAAAAAAAAAAAAAAAAAAAAAAGGAGTGGGGGACTTAGAGGAAAGGAAGACGCTCAGCTGCACTCTACCATGGTAGAGTTGGGAGTACTACTTCATTGAAAGCCCACAAAGAGGTCTCTCAGCAGTGAGAGCCAGCAAGAGGAGGAGTAACTGGTTTAACACCCCATTTGATACTTATTCCCCACTGGGTAACTGAGGAGCTATCACAACTTCCAGTCCCTGTCCCTAGAACACCTCTGTAAGCATTCACCAGTTCTATGTGCAAAGCTCTGTGGAATTACTTGGTACAACAGGAAGATGGGTTACCCATACAAACAGTGAAACATCACACATCGGAATGGCAACTGGTGTTATTCCAGTAGGATCTCTGGGCCACAGCACAAGTCCAGCCGGAAGAGAGGAAGCTGGCCACGTGGAGAAGTCCCCTCCGTTACTGTGGATGTTGCTGGTGGTTCTGGTCTTGGTCTCTAGGTTGATTTTCTGGACGATCCTCAGGGAGAGGGTTATAGTTGGGATCCTCTTCAGGTGTGTCAAATACCATCTTCCTGGCAGGGGACATGCCCATCCCACCAAGCAGGCAGGTTAGGAAAGTGAGCTGCGGACAAAACCCCCAGCCCCCCTAGGAACATCCTAGCCCTTCACAGGGCTTGGCTGTATGCCACAGCCACCTGCCTATTGCATCAGCACTAACTGTTCTTTTGCTCAGCTCAGTATGTAACGACGACAGTACCTGCTTCCTTGAGCTCTAGGTCAGCTTTGATCCGCAGCATGAAGCGGAACATATTCTGCTTTCTTAAACTAAAGAAATACATCAGAAAAGAATCCTACCCGCATCTAGCATTTCCACAAGCAGTAAGAACACTCCAGGTCAACTAGCAAAGCTTAAGGTACCAGCAACTGCTTTACGGACTCTGTGTACATACATATGTATATAATGTGCAAAGTGCCAGTGCTTTCTGCAGAAGAGGCATAAACTGTCAAGCTGAGGTGCTACCAGCATGCAACTGCATTCTATGATCAGCCCACGCTGCCACAGACCACAGTTTGCTGTGAAAGTGACCCAAGTTGGGACACAACACAGCAAAGCCCAGAAAGAATCAGCTTTACTTACAGGAAGCCAGGGGTTAACAGCAACTTCTTTCCTCCAGGCTGGTTGGGGAAAACATCTTCCAAGAAATAATAGATGTGACCCACTGCAATCCCTGGGAAGAGATGTCACCAAGGTCAGGCCCAGCTGTGACTCCTTTGCCAGTTGAACCAGAGCTGCTGGGAGCTTAAGCAGGATGAAGCTCCAAGAATCCATCAGCTGTGTACCCACAGCCCAGCTCCCACCAGAGCAACTTGTGCTGCTGTGCCAGGGGGCCAGGCTGTTTGCTATGATCCGTGCACAAGCAGGCAGGGAGCCTGTCAGCCTGAAGGCAGCACCAGGCACAGCACAAGTGTCAGGCAGAGCTCACCATACCAAACTTGTGCTCCTGGGGAAGACACAGCAAAATGCAGGTCACAAGCAAGAGCTCAGGCACGAGGCTGGCCACCCAGCAACCTCAGCCAGCTCGCTTTAGGAATCCCCCCACCCTAAATAAGATGAAACCAAGAGATGGTGCTAGTGCCCCAGCAGCACCTATGAGAATTGAGAGCGCTGTGGCTGCAAAGTGCCCTTGTTCCCAGCACCCACCAGCTTTGACTTACCCAGTAAGTCGATTATGATGGAGTTGCCCAGGAGCAGAGAGAATCCCATCAGGACCCAGGGCAAGAAGGGGGCCTGGAAGTTAAGAAGCCCAAAGAAGTTCATGCGGATATAAGGGTTCCTGCGACTCCACACGTACACCAGCATGATAGTAAAAGCCTGGCCCAGGAAAAACAGGCTGGCAAAGAGTCCAAATAGCTAGGAACTACTGAGTCAAGGAAAAACCTACCCACCTTGTGCACCATGTCCAGGCAGCACAGGGTGCCTTGTGATTGGGAAACCCAGAACTAGAGGCAGCTGATCACAGCATGTAAGACATTGCCCATGCTACCAAACCTTTCCTGGGCTGGCTGAAACCTACCGACCACCCCCCTGGCCATGCACACCACAGTTCCTTCCCTGCCACCCCAGAGCAAGACACTCTGGAGTGGCACATACAGACTCGTCACTCCTTAAGCTGCTTCTACAACCACCAGAGACTAGGGAGCTCATGTAGTCACCTCTACAAAGTGGCCGTCCAAAGTGACCTTCAGAGAAGGGCCTTCACATTTGTACAGCACTTGGGACGTGTGGCACATATGAACAACTAGCTCACATCCAGTATTTGCCTTCTACAGAAGAGTTTCAGCAGTGAGATGGCTCTTGCAATTCACAAGGCTCTTCTCCAGAACAGAAGAATACAGCCAGGGGCAAAAATTTCCTCTGCCCTTGTTATAGTTGGATTCCCAAATCCACCTATAGCCAAGCACGTGGTTGGTGCAGGCACCTGGACACTGACTAGCCAAACACCCGAGGATGGCCGACAGCCATGAGAGTCCACACAGCTTCATGCGGAGCTCTGTGGGGAGAGCAGTCCTCTGAGCCAGCTGCACAAGACAGCAAACAAGACATTCAGAAAAAGTTTTATGCTTGGGAGGGAGATATTTCTCTCCATCAGACTATTTTGTCATACAATAAAAGAACTTCCCAAGATGTGTAGCGGTATCTCCAGCCACTGACAGCTTGCAAGGACAGAGTGCTGGGCTCCTGCTGCCTCATGTGCTGACAGCAGACAGTATATGGGCACCCCACTCCTTGTCCTTACGGCTCTGTGTTTTTCCCTTCAGCTGCAGCTCAATCTTCTGAGCCACCCTCACGCCAACCATAGCAGCACTCCAGTATGCTCCACCTGCCGGAGCTCAGACACAGCTGCTCTGCCACAGCTGGACGGCTTCTCACAGAGCATAACAAGGGGCTGCCTTTCAGCCTGACCCTCCTGAGCACACTGCCACAGGTCCTCTTCTAGGATCAGGCAGCCCATCCGCCTGTCAGGTGCATCTGCACTTCTGCAGACACCAACACAAGTATAGGCAGCTCTTGCTGTATTTTGCTTCTGCTCTAAGCATACTGGGCAAGGCACAGGCCAGGAGACAAGGGTGGGCAAGATAAGGAGGACAAGCTGTGCCATCCAGCCAGAAGTTGCCCCTCCACAACATGCTCAGCAGAGCTCTCCCAAGCCTCAGGGTGCGAGCCTGGCAGGCCTGGGACACAACAAGGCTCTCTGCCCCATGGCATCAAGAAGGTTCACAAGCCACCTGTCCTGCTCAGCAGGCAGGTACCCACTACAGACCACACAATACAGCTGGGATACAAAGAGCTAGAAGACAAGCCCCACACTATCCACAGCATCTCAGAAGACACCAAAGAGCCTCAACCAACTCCAAAGGATATTGTCATGAGAAACCCTCCGAAGAGGAACATGAAGACAAAGTCAGCCGTCCTTCCACGAAAGGAGCCTTCTTCTAGCATGCGGCAATACCTGTACCTGAGAGCAGGAGAAAAGGGAGGGGTTGCAGTATAGGAAATTAACAGCTGGCCACCCTGTGTCCCCATAGCACGGCTTTACGGGGAATAAGCCAGCTGCAAGCTATTTCATCACAGGAAGCTGTCAGCCAGGTGTCCAAGCCCCAGAGCAGAAAAGCACAAACTTCACCTCGTACTACTGACCCCAGCAAAAGAAAGAGGCATCTGCTGTGCTGCAGCCAGAGCTCAGCCCAGGAATGGGCACTGCTCTCCAGCATGAGCTGCAGCAGCTCTGACAGCTTCTTCAGCCTTTTGGCAGCAACTGCCCTGCAGCAAGCAGTGATGGAGGCAGGGGGTGGCCACAGCTGTTGGGGGGAATGGCTTCAATTCAGACCAAAAGAACCAAGGAAAGAATCCACAGCCCTAGACTGCCACCAAGACAAGTCAGCGTGGGGAGAAAGATGGACAGGGAGAATCGCATCTAAGCCAAAAAGGGAGCAGAGAGCTTCACTGAGACCAAAGGATACAGAAATATCATGTTGAAAAAGAAACTGAATCCCAGGGGCCCAAAAAAGAGGAAGTTGGTGATCAGCCTCCATATCTGAAAGAGAAGAGAGAGGAGAGAGAAAAGGAGGTAGACAGACAGGTCGCTCCCGATCACATGTACAGCAGCCCATCACCCTATCCACTGGGGATGCCCAGACATGTACCCATCCACTTAGAACTACCCCAGGACACCAGACAGCTGCACCAACTTCATGTGGGACCTCCCTCCATTGCCCACATCAGAGCATCTTGCCCTTCCAGGTGTGGGAAAGAATATTTCTCTACTTTTCTGGAAGGGACGAACAGCCACAATTCAGCACCCAGAGCCAAAGTAAATCACTGTTCACATCTCTCCATGATAAAGCCTTCCCCACCCAGCCTGACATCAGCCAGCCAAACATCTCAGTGTCATAGAAAAGGAAGAGACAGGTTTTGAGTAAAGGAAAAAATGAAATGCCAAGATGGTGTACAGCAGGGAAAGGCTAGAAAAAGTCATCTCCATTCAGGTGTCTGTGACAAGAGGGGACACATGTTGGCACATGTTGGCAACCCATCTCCTGCCAATCAGAGAAGGCTGGAGCCCGGGGGGGGGGGGGGGGGTCAGCACTCCCTGACCACTCTGGGCAGTGGGACACCCAGGGCCCAGGCTGTCACACCCACCGCTCCCCGGAAAGAGACAAGAGGAGCCCCAAAGCCCGGGCAAGGCCTCACCTGGAACTTCCTGAAGATGAGGTCGGGGTTGAAGTACAGCTGGAAGGGGGTGATGAACTCCAGCTGCTGTGAGAGACAGGCAGAGCAGCTGCCACCCGCTGCCG